TATGATTCATATAATACACGCAAATTTCTGTGATGATAAACAGTGTGCAAACGTATGAGCAGTATATACTATATTTAGGCTTATCACAAAGAGTCAAAAACATAACACAAAACATACATTGTAAAAAAAAAAAATGAATTCAAAGCATATGATAAAGTACTGTTTAATTTAATGGTCAGTATCTGTTTTTTACGCATGTAAATAACCCGTAAGTATTTTAACACTGCTGTTGTTAATTTACAGAAATATATTTTAGATTTACTAAAACAAATGACCACCTTTATTTTACAAACATTTGCGTTCATTTTTAATGGTTGTTACTGTTATGATTATGGTAAAGTACTGTATGTCTGTTAAATTACAGTAAAATGCAGTATATCTAAAAAATGAAATAACTGTAATTTAACAGATTTTGAGATCTTTGAGAAAACATCCTTTTACTGTTAATTATCGGCTTTTGGCTGGCACCCCTGCTGCCGGACTTTGTACTGTTTTTTGCAGATTTTTTACAGCTTATTTCATCCTCTGCAGGGAACCAAGAAGGAGTTGATATCTGAGCTTCAGTTAGCCCACACACACAGTCTAGCCTTTTGTACACTCTGACTGCTTCTCTTAATTCTCTCTGTGTGTGTATCATCTTTTATTATCCTTTTTCCACTCTTATTGTATCTCCTTCCCTTTGCTTCTCTCTGTAAAATCATCACAAGCCATGAACAAGCTTGTCACAAATATTGTCAGATGAATAAAGCTCTAAGTGTGTGTGTGCTTTTATTCGGAGTGTTTGCATTTCCTCTCTCGCTCTCTTGTCTGTTTGAGAAACGATTTCCTTTTACAAGACAGGCTACAGCCTCGAACGAGCTGGGACGTACGTCTCTTCCCAAAAAACACAGTGGCTTATTGAGCCATAAAACAGACAATGAACTCAATCATAAGACAATAAGAGTTTTATAAAGGATGGTGAGAAAGCCAGAGCTGCATCTACAGTGTGGAGTGAAACACAGTCAGACAGTTCTGAAATTACACACAGGCATAAAACAGTCAGAGCATGCACTAACCACAACCCACATGTACACAACACAATGAGAAATCACCGTCATTCAGTGAATCACAGCAAAATAATACACTGGCTGTCTAACAAAATTGCTCGAATGTTTATTGCCATGATCACTGATACACACCAAAAAAATGAATGCAAACGTAGGAAACATGCAATTAAGAGAGTCTGAACAATTGAATCGGGGTTGTACAGTCAAGGTGGGGCTTCATTTTTCTGTTTCAACCAAGCAGAAGTACTTAGTGCCTAATTCTACTTGTTTAATCAATTCTCAGTTCTCAGTCTACAAACAATCGATGAATTGTATCAGGTGTGCTCCTGCTTGGTTGGAATAAAAACCAGCAGACAGCCACATTAGCTGTTTGCAGATAACATGGGATACTATTGAGAAAAAAAAATGCATTGTTTTTACACAACCCCTACAAAGTCTTTGGCAACCCTGCTACCCTTACACACATGCATTAAACTGTTTCATTCTAGAGGATAAAGGCTGGAAAAAGCTCAGGTAAAATTGAATTATGGTCATAAAACTACACAAGCATTCTAAGTAGAAAAAACAACAAAATGTGAAATAAAGCCCTTTAAAAACCATTTAAGTGTATTTCTAATCATTGTGTTTAGGATTGTTACATTATTAAACCCAACTGTCTACTCGCTATATTGATGTTATATTATCATGTAATTACCAACAACTATAGCACATACAGTTCTGCTACCAAGTTTACATGCCCTTGGCTGAGTTTGTGAAATATTCACCTATTTTAGAAAATGTTGGTAAGTATTTTTACCAATATTATTACTAATACTGGAATATAGTTGTATAGTAGTGTGTCACCCCAAATATATCACCCCAAGATGGCCGCGGGTCCAGTGCTTTGTTTGCTTGTCTATATGTGAGCTCTGTAATTTACTTGTCTTTGTCTGTTTTTACTTATCCTTTAACTTATGATCCAGCTAGTGACTTTTTTTTTGGCTTGCAATTGAACTAAATAGACTCAATCTTAAAATGAAATAACTTTGTCTACTTGTGTGAGCAGGCTGGGGGCCTAAATAAGTCCTATGGCTTAAATCAGTCCCTCGGGCCTAAATCAGTCCTTTGTTGCTGATTTATCAGTGCTCTCGCACAACTTTGGTAAGCGACTGTAGTGGCTTTCTCTGGATAATCTTCTGGGCTGTATGTCCCTATCCAGGCACATGCAGCCAACATAGTAGATCCCGCATCACTGTTCTCCGTGTTTCTCAATAATCCACGATTGGAAGCCAACTCTGACTGATTTGAGGGTGCTCAGTGAACGAAGCGGCTTCTCTAGATACCCTGCTGTGCGTTCCTGCTCAGACCTGTGCAGCTAATAGGGTGGATCCTACATCGCTGTTTATGTGCTCTCTTAACAACCTACCATCCTGAAGCCAACTCCTTGCTACAACAAAGCCATCTGAGCATCTGTTATTTCATGTTCTGTTGATTCCCTTACAGGCATCATGTATCTGTCTGTTTATTTATTCATTAATTTGTGCTTTCTTGGACCTTCTGGACTAAATCTGGTGAGTAAATACTCATTGTCTAACTCTCTAAGCTTCACAAACTCTCTGACTAGAGACTCATGGATTTGTCAGAAAGACATTCACCCCATGCATCAGCAAAAACTTGATAACCCCCAAACACAAGTGAACACTGCTAATTTTACAGTCTTTGAAAGCTGTGAATGATGTTCTCACTAAGGGGAAGGTCTCTCTGCACCCCACTGCCAGAGACACTGATTATAATATCAACACACATATTGGGAAATTAAAAAAGCATTATTTTACTGCTGCTGTTGTTATCTGTGAATGTTCAGCCAAACACAGGCCCTGTCCAAAATATACCCACACCAGCAGACTTCAGAAGTAGATCAGGACTTAGACTGGTGCATTTAAATGTGAGAAGTCTCCTCTCCAGAACGGGCATAATAAAGCTTTGGGTTGTCACAATGAATATGGATGTAATGGTTATATTAGAGACATGGTTAAAAAATCCAATCCAAACTTCGTGGCTCCATGTCACAGTATATAACCAAAACCAAACCGTTTGAGCAGTTAAAGTGAATATATCCAAGCTGTACTGTTGTTGGTTGTTACAGACCACTGTCGGCCACAAAGGAAGCCATTCACTTTCTGATGGCTTACATAGTCTCAATGAGTTTAGACTCAGAAAACACTTGTATAAGCTATGCTCCTAAGTGTTTTAGACTATGGGGATATTATGTACATGCACGCTGACTACTTTCAGTCTGTATATCACAGTTCTCTATGCTTCATATCCAGCTCACTGTGCCGTACACATCACTGTGTACTTTATGATCTGGTTTCTTGGCCTTCTTTAAGCCTAAGGAGACAGTAGCACTGTTATACCTTTATTTACAAAGTCTTGCTGTGTAACCTTCTTTCTTATCTCTGTAACTTTCTTTCACATAACAACAGATCAAAAAAAGAGATTTTAATCTCAAGGGACTTCCTGATCAAATAAAGGTTTAATAAATCAAAATTAAAAAGTAGTAGTAGCAGTAGTTAAACACCAATAATAATAATAATAATAATAATAATAATAATAATAATTGTGCAGATCAATGAATTAGCCTCACCCTCAAGAAGAAGTCATTAAACTGCAAGTTTATTGATTGATTGATTGGTGGGTTAAGATGTTGACTGATTGATTGATGGGTTAAACAACTGATTGATGGTTAAATAGCTGACTGGTTGATTGATTGATTGATTGATTGATTGATTGATTGATTGCCTGATAGATAGACAGACAGATTCACTGATTAATTGATTGTAGTTTTTCTCAAAATAGATAAATGCCTTTAAGTTTGTGGAAGCAGCTACACCTACTGTAAGTCTACACACACACACACACACACACACACACATATGCACAGAGCTAGAGTCAGTAGAGGGAGCGCGAGCAGTCAGAAGACAGACGTGGTGATAACGCACGCGCACTCCTTGGGCCGTTACTATGGTTACAACACAATGGAAGACGGGACAGAGAGAGAGAGAGAGAGAGAGAGAGAGAGAGAGAGAGAGAGAGAGAGAGATACGTTGGTTCTGATTCATCAGTGTTTTTTTTATGTCATAGTAATTAGTTTGTTTCTCTGGCTGTTTATTTGTTTTGCCGTGTTTATGTTTGTGTGCATTTACACAGACAATTTTAGAGACACAGATATCTGTGTTTCATTACTGCTGTTTGCTGTTTTAATGTGAAGTCCACTAAGCTTAAAACTGAACCTGACCTTTTCTTTCTTTATTGATAATTAATGATCTTGCAAATAACTTGTTTTCTGTTGTGTTATTTGTATTATTTTTTGTTTCCTCTCTTTTGTTCATATTAGTTGTTTTGGCAATAATGTAACTGGTAACATTCATGCCAGCAAAACACTGAGAGTTTCAGTTCAGCTCAGCTTAATTGGCTTAATCGGCTGCTTTATGTGCAAAACTGCCAGAACATACGCACAGACCCCAATGAGTAATACACACCAAAAATAAACAAACAAATCAGGATAGAGAAAAAATAACAAAAGAAACTCTCTCTCTCTCTCAGTCCTACTCTCTCTTACTGTGTATGTGTGTGAACTTTGGCTGAGTTCAGTGTTCAGTGTGTTTAGCTGCAGTGAGTGTTCAGTTTCTTGTTTTAGTAAGAAGTTGTTCGGTCCTCCAGAAGCAGCAGCTCCAGTTTCTCTCCCCCAAAAAGTCACTGCAGTGCCCCTCACTCTCCACTCTGTACTCTCACTCTGCTCTTCCTCTCTCCTTCTCTCCATTTCCTCTCCTCCTCTTTCGTCCACACTATGTAAATCACGCCCCCCTTTTCCACACACTCCCCTCCCAGGAATTCATGAAGAAAGAAGAAAAGAGAGAGAGAGAGAGAGAGAGAGCACGAGTCGAGTCGTCTTGACAGAGAGAGGGAGGAGGAAAAAGAGAGAAAGAAAGGGAAAAAGAGGAAAGATAGGGAGGGAGAGAGAGCAAGAAAAACGAGAGGTAGAGACAGACAAGGAGAAAGAGACTGGTGAGAGTGTGCGAGTCGATCCGTCTTGACAGAGAGAGAGAGAGAGAGAGAGAGTGGGGTGTAGTGTTATGGGGGTGTAGTGTGTTACAGTGTAAAGGGGGTGGGGTGTGTGTGAGTGCATCATCAGTGTGTGTGTGTGTGTCCAGCTGCACTGTGTGTGTGTGTGTGTGTGTGTGTATGTGTGTGTGTATGTGTGTGTGCGCGCTCGCGCGCGGTTTGCAGTGGCGGAGCTGCAGGATGGGAAGCTGATCCACGGCGTCCAATGCATGCACGCGCTGCACGCGCGCGCGTGTCTGTGTGAGTGTGTGCGCGCGTGCGTGCGTGTGAGTGTGTGCGAGGGGGTCCTCGTGCAGGAAGAGAAGGAAGAAGAGAAGGAAAGGCTGCGCGTAGGTAAGAGCAGAGAGAGAAAATGGATGCTCCAGTCCCTCCTCCTCCTCCTCCTCCTCTTTCTGCTGCTGCTGCTGCTGCTCTTTGTGTGTGTATGTGTTGTGTGCTCGCATGCTAGCGTCAGGCTAACGTTTTGTGCGCCATTCCGCTGCGATTCGGTTTCTTCTCCTCCCTTTCTTCCTCCTCTTTTCTTCTTCATGCTGAGAGAAGCGGTTGTGTAGCTCCACTGCACGCGCGGCATTCAGCATGTATGCACGCGCAAGAATGCACAACCGGGCTGTGTATGTGCATGTGTGTGTGTGTGTGTCTGTGTGTTACAGACAAAGATATGCAGACATATGTGAGTCATGACATATGTACACACAGATTAATGAGATTGTGTACGTCATGTACAGTATGTGTGTGTGTGTGTGTGTGTGTGTGTGTGTGTGTAACATACAGATACGTTATGTTTGGACTGTGTGTCACAGCCATAAATGTCTTTTGAGCTGTGTGTGTGTGTGTTACAGTCATAGATGTCTTGGGCTGTGAGTGTTACAGTTATAGATGTCTTGGACTGTGTGTGTGTGTGTTACAGTCATAGATGTCTTTTGGGCTGTGTATGTATATGTGTGTTACAGTCATAATTGTCTTTTGGGCTGTGGGTGTGTGTGTTATAGGCATAAATGTCTTTTGGCTGTGGGTATGTGTGTGTTACAGACATAAATGTCTTTTGGGCAGTGGATGTGTTACAGTCATATATGTCTTTTGGGCTGTCTCTGTGTGTTATGGTCATAGATGTCTTTTGGGCAGTGTGTGTGTGTTATGGTCATAGATGTCTTTTGGGCTCTCTGTGTGTGTGTTATGGTCATAGATGTTTTCTGGGCTGTGTGTGTATATGTGTGTTACAGTTATGGATGTCTTTTGGGCAGTGTATGTGTGTGTTACAGTTATAGATGCTATTTGGGCTGTGTATGTGTGTGTTACAGTTATAGATGCTATTTGGGTTGTGTATGTGTGTGTTACAGTTATAGATGTTATTTGGGCTGTGTATGTGTGTGTTACAGTTGTGGATGTCTTTTGGGCAGTGTATGTATGTGTTATGGTCATAGATGTCTTTTGGGCTATCTGTGTGTGTGTTGTGGTCTTAGATGTCCTCTGGGCTGTGTGTGTGTATATGTGTGTTACAGTCATAGTTGTCTTTTGGGCTGTGTCTTTGTGTGTGTTATAGACATCTCTGTGTAAAACGTATGTGTATGTGCATGAGCAGAGCTGTCTGTGTGTGTGTGTGATATGGCCTATACTGTTATGCTTTCATTTTGAATACACTGGTTTTCAGTTCTACAGATATTATTAGCGACATATTTGACAGACAGTGAATACTATATCTATGATATAACAAGCATAATATGTTAATGTTCTTGCCCAGCAGTTTTTAGTTTTTTAATTCTGTAATTTTGTTCAGTTTGCTCATTGTATCCAGGACCTGACAGCTGGAATTTATGTCATTTACAAGGTGGTTCAGAGTGTTTTAAAGAACTGTTAAAATAAATAGTAAGTTTAATTTCTTGAAATGTAGTTTCTGTCTATGCAACGTTTACAGTTGTGTGTAAAATTCTCTTTGGAGTCATTTAAAGTGAAGAAAATGGAACAAAACAGTCTAATCAAGCTGTGCCAGGTTAGTATGTTATTATTCACTCAGGAGTGGGTTATTCATTTTTTTAGTGTTACACTAACCTTAAATCTCATACGATGTCATGATACTGTGATATATATGGGCAGTATCATGATATTTTTGGTTAAATATTGACCGGCCCTAGTGTGGATGTGTCGTACATACACAATGTTGGTGTGAGTGTGTTACAGTACGGGTTCTATTTAGGTTGTATGTCTATATGCATGTGTGAATGTATGTGTGTATCGCTTGTGATACCATGGTATATTTGGACAATACCATGATATTGAATAGTGCACAGCCCTAGTGTTTGTATGTGTGTGTCATAAATACATACTGTTGATGTGTTACAAGCCTTATTTAAGGTGTATGCCTGAAAGGAAGTGTGAATGTATGTGTGTATCGTACAGACAAAGCTGTGTTTGTGGTGTGTTTACATGTGAATGTGTGTCATATATAGGTGTGTTTGGAGTGTATGAGTTATAGTCGGAGCTGTGTAGCTTGTGGTGCATGTATATGTGAGTGTGTATGTGTTGTACACTGGTATGTTTTGGGAAGTGTGTTACAGTCAGAGCTGTGTGTGTGTGTGTGTGTTTGGTATTCATGGACTCCTGCCAGGCTGCTGGACTGATGAATGAAGGTTCACCTGTAGACAGAGCACTGGCAGCCTGTATTGTGTGTCATTGGGATATATTACCTTGTCTACACTGTAATTGGTCCACAAATACGCCTGATGTGATATTTATGGGACGTTCGCAAGGATGTGTCTGCGTATGTGTGTGTGTATGTGTGTGTGTGTGTGTGTGTGTGTGCATATTCTGAGAGATATTACTTGACGTCCTTGAGTACACAGCAGAATCACTGCTGTTCCAGTCTACCCGGCAGGTGTTAATTTAACTCCACTGCTTCAGCTGTGCAGTTGAGCGCCTGGATTTGACTGTTTATGCATAAACAGCAGCATGTGTGTGTGTGTGTGGGATTGGTGCACGCTGTAGAATTGTTTGTATACAGTCACCACCAGCGCTGCCGTCTCCGTCATGAACACACTAGCCTGGGTGTAAAAGTGCGCTGATTTCTGTAAAAGCCTTGCTAAATGTACTTGCACACGTCGCTACAAGACTGTTAGTGTTCTATATATAGCCTCATTCAGTATAAATGAAGTGTGTGCGAGGGGTAAGTGGGGGGGTGGTTTTGCAGTGGGGTTGCTGTGCTGGACTGAAACTGAAGTGAATTTGTATGTATTGTGTTGGTATATTGTGCATACTTATTTATGAATGAAGCTGTAGGCCTCATCTCCTTCCTTCTCATTGCACATGTGGACAAATCCCCAGATGCTGTTGAGCTTTTCAGGCTGCTCTTACTTATCAGAGAGCAAACGTGTTGGTGTGGGCTATATGACAATATTTATCATTATTATGATGAATTATGTCACAGTGTGCTTTTCTGAGCATATTGTGAATGAGTACTTAAAGAACACTGATCAACTGCGTGTTTCGTTACAAAGAGGACATAATTAGTAGGGGTGGTAAAAATATTCAATTCTTAGATTCTCTTTTGCAAGATTCTGAATTAATTCACAAAATGACAGTTTTTACATAAAGGCTCTGCATTTCCTCTACAAACTAGTGCACACCCAGAAACTTTTTAAAATTATGATACTTTGGCACATCCTCGCTTGGAGGAAGAAAAAACGCAGGATCTCATTAATGCATGCGTGTCTGCAATCATAGATTGGTCATAATTTTTGTGTTATGAAATAAAAGCCCCAAAACCATAGTAAACATTCCTTATGCCAGAATGCCACTTTGATTAACAACCACCTTGGCAAGCTATCAGGCTAAACCAGTAATGATAATTAGTAATAGCATAGCTGTGTTAATTTAGATAAAAAGACTTCTTATAAAGTAGGAATGTGTGTGTTCGGTTTGTACATGTGTTTTAGTGTGTTAACTTTGAGTGCTCAAATGCTGTTCACTGTTTTAGGGAGCTGGATGTTTTGGCCCCACAACAGTACTGTTTTGCAGTACTCATACATGAGACAACAGTACTTATTTCATACTTTCTGACATCATTTTGGTGTGGCAAATTTCAATTGGTTGCACTATTTTTACAGTTTTGCCCACATTTCAATCCTGAGTACAAAGTGTATCATGTACAGCCCTGAACTAAATGCTCAGGTTTGATCCAAAGCAAAGAAATAAACATTGCACACTGATTTTGATACATTGTTAGCAGCTTTTCTTTGCACAATGAACTGATGCATCAGTAAGAATCTGTCGTCCGTCTCCTGCTGTGTGTGAATGTGCGAACGTGTTATACTGTAGTTGCACTGTGCTGTGAAAGTTCTCACCTGTTTCCTTACTAGCTGTTACATTTTGTGGTCACAAAATGTCAAAGTCAGAGTGATGCTCATACTTTTCAAGGTTACAGGGGGTAATCTCACGTGGAAAATGATATATCTGCTCACAACCCTACAAAAATTAAATTATTATTATACTTTGTCAGTTTATTCCAAAATATAAATAAAATATATTGTAATATATTTTCAGTTTTTTACTTTTTTGGTAGAATCAGGTTCAGTCTCTGTTACAAATACATTGTCTAATGCCCAAGATGCTACTAAAGTTTTGAAATAAAGTTTTGGCCTAAAACATCTCGCAAGGCAAAATAATACCCAAAATAAAACATATTTGTATAGATTTATTACTGTTTTGCAATTATCAACATTACATATAAAATGTATGAGAAAAGGCATGTAGGTTTTGGATAGTAAATAAAATGGCTCCTGATTCCTGGTTCCTCTCAGCACCACTGTAAAAAAAGTTGGTAGGTTTCTGTACATTGTACTGCTTCACTTTAAAACACTCTGAATGACTTTGTTTACATCTCAACAACTGAGTTATGGATACATTTTGAAAAATCAGTGGAATTCCCCTACATTTAAAAAATGGGGCTTTATGAAGTCCATGGATCGGGCAGCTCAGTACTGCAGTGAAAGTATTTTTTATATTTCCTTTTTCTAGACAAAAAAGTACTAAATTATGTTGCATTTATATGTCAGGCATTATGGAGACTGACTCTAGCAGTGAGTTTGGGTAGTCTCAGCTGCGGTTCAGTCTGAGGATGTGTTTTGAGTCTCCTGGTTTCCAGATGTCTCAAAGACCCATAGCAGAATGAAGAATGCCATGCAGCTTATTATGGTCTAGTCTGTGTAACAATGCTCTCTCTGAGTCTCTACAGTGGTGGACAAGATGGACAGCGAGTTAGACTTGGATTTGTTAGAAATAAGAAATTTACTGTATCATTTTAGTGTTTTTGACTTCATGGTTTTGCATTTGTGACACTGTCTTTTGTATTGCTGTTCCAGAATTTGAAGTCTGACTGGCTGTGTTAACCCGCATCCGAGCGTTCTCTTAACCAGACGTTCTCTCACTTCCTGGGAGGGATGGACCCTGTGGAGAGGCAGCGATGAAAACCCGAACTCACAAAGACCCGGTGAGGATGCTTTTCTTTGCCACCATATACTAGGGAGTGTGCCACAACATTTAGATGAGGCCAACCATTTTCTGTGCATTTAGCAGTGGTGTAACAGTTCACAAAATTCATAATTCAGTTTGATATAATATGGTCGTATGTCGATTCAATATTCAATTTTTCAATATAGCAAAAAATAATTTCATTTAGTGTGCTTTTCCTCCGTGCTACTTGTTTTTGAGGTAAACATAAAGAGATGAATTTACAGTTAGATATATGTGCAAATTGAATTAAGAGGCTTATATTGAACGTATTATGCATTGTATTGTTACTTTAGCAGTTAAATTGCTCACAGTTTCGCTCTTTTGCATTTTGTTTTTGCCTGATCATTTTGCTTGTCATTTTTAAGGTAACATGAAGTCATGTGTTCTAGCTATATCTGCTATACCCCCAGATTCAACACAACCTCAGTTACTGAGAAATGGCACTCAATAAACACTCCTATACACCATAACACTAGATATTAGTCCTAAAAACACATTACATATTGTATATTTTTATTTAAAAAAAACTGAGAACAAAACATTTTTTATATAGATAAAAATGAATCTGTATGCAAAACAATAGAGCAAGCAGTGCATTAGGTATCGGAACAAACTGTTAATTTCTTTTGATGACTGAAGGAAATGGTCCACACTGACAAACTGGAGCTTGTTAAATAGCCCTCTGTCTCTAGTTTCATTAAGAATTACAAACAATAGATAGAGATCCAATCTGACCAGAGCCCGATCGTGACTGTGCTGCCAGCTTACAGCACTGATCCAGTTCAGGTTTAGCTCCCTCCTCTCTTTTTCAGCCACTCATTTATTTTTCTGCTTATTCACCCGCCCACCCTGGGCATGGCTGCAGATGCCCGTACGTAGCGGGCGCAGGAGGGGGGGCAGTGAGGAGAGGAGGGGCAGACGTCCTCACCCCAGCCCCTCTCGAGCAGAACGGAGCGAAAGACAAACGGTGAGACTTCCAACATTCTTTCCCGCTTTCTCGTTCTGTTTCCACTTCCCGTCCTAATTCATCTTTTCTGTGTTATTCATTTGCTTGATTATCTGAGTCTGTCCACCTCTGTGCTTTAATCTCTTATTTTCTTCTGCCTTGTCCTTCTTTTTTCTCTCTCAAATTCTCCCTCCCTCCCTCAATCCCCCGCTCCCTCTTTTTTCTGCCCAACTACTTGCTTTCTCTCACTCTCTCCCAGCCTCATCCTTTCGTCACATCTTTTCATTGTGTAGATGGGTTTGCGCCAAATACATGATGTCAGATCTTTATGTTCTTTCATCTGCATGTGAGCTGTATTTGAGGCTTTGTATGGCTATGTGTGCTTGTTCCTGTGTAACTGTGTATTGCCTTTGTCTTTGATTCTAAATATAAGTCTGCCTGGCAGTCTTGATTAAAATGGTTGTGTGTTTAGCAGAGAGCTGCGGGAGAGGAGCTGGCTGTGAGCTGCTTTAGCAGGCGCTCTCAGGGACACGATTCGTCCGAGAGTGAGGGAGAGGACCTTGTACCCCCACCCAAGAGACAGAAAGTTCAGGTAATTCTTTAAGTGCGATTATTTTTATATTACAGAAAAATGTTTTTTTCTAATTCTAATTCTTTTTCTGTTCTAATTTAACCTTGTCAATATTGTTATTTCCATTGCCAGGACTCTTCATCCAATCCTCCAACTTCAACCCATTCAACTGACACCACGACTTCAGCCCCAAACCCAACCTCGTGCAACAGCCAATCGCGAGAGAGCGACAATGAAGATGGCCAGTCGCAAGGCAGCCGCAGTTCTGTCGGAGGAAGCCTAGCCAATAGCAGCAGTAGCATTAGCAGCGGGCGGGACATTGATCAGGACAATCGGTCATCCTCCCCAAGTCTCTCTGCCTCCCCATTGGCCAGTTTGGATTCTGAGTCAGACTCCCCGGACTCGCCAAAGCAGGGCAGTAAGACTAAAGACAGTGGAGCATCTAAATCTGGAGGGGAGGAGAGGAGGGGACAAGGGAGAGGGGAAGAGAGTGGTCCAGGGGAACGCAGAAATGGTGAGGGAGGGACTGAGGTGGATTTATCCTCACTGAAATCTCCATCTTCCCTCTGTCCTCCCCACCGTGGAGACTCTTCGGCTGTTGCTATGAGCGACAGTGGCAGCAGAAAGCCGTACTTCTCGCTCGACTCCAAACTGCCAACCAAGATGGAGTTCTCTGGGCCTGTGGCAAGTGAGTCTCTGCACGGCTGCAGCCGCATCAACCCCAAACCAGGCTCGCAGTGTGGAGGCAAAACAGGAGTGGGTGGGACAGAGTATACGCATGGTAACCCCACCGTTAGCCATACTCCTTCACTCCCCCCTCCACCTGCTCTTAAGCCTCTGGAGGCGGGGCAGAATGTTCCATGTGACATTAAAACAGAGAAGTCAGAGAAGTGTGACAAGGCTGCCCCACCCTCTCTGCTCCCACAAACTGTCTCCTTACCCCAGCAGGCCCCAGCCCCTCCACACACACATCACTATAGTCCTACTACCTGGTCAGGTGGCCATGTCTCCAGCTGCCCCGGCAGCTGGGCATACACTCGTTACCCAGGCGTCCACCATGCGCCCCCTGTGCAACAGCAACAACTGCCTTCTGTCTACAACCCCCCCTCCTCCACCCGTCACCCCTCCCATCCCCCATACCTGCCTCACCTGCACCCCCACCCACACAGGGAGTATCTGCCCAGGTATGGTGGCCCGGCTGACCGAGAAAGGGCAGTGAGGGACTTTGGGATTAAGGACAGTGGTGCTAGCACAAACAGCTGTGTCAGCACCTGCAGCACTGGGGCAACCAGTGCCAACCTGGGTCGGGACTTTGGGAATCCGCCACCTGGTCAGAACCGGGACTATAGCAGCATAGGGCCTCAGGCGCCAGGCCGGGATGGACCTCGAGAAGGTCGAGAATATGGTCCAGGTTTCAGAGAGCGGGACACTGGGAGAGACTTTCCCTTGCCAAACCAGCAGCACTTAGCACAGAGCCGTGAGTTTGGACCTGGAGGAGCAGGAGGTGGGGGGTGTCACCCTAGAGATAAAGAGGGTAGATGGGGAGAGTTTGCGGGGCCAATGAGGGAATCAGGGGGAAATAGTAATCTTAGTAACAGCAGCCAAGGAAACGTTAGCACTCCAAACACTGGTTTGCCTTCCGGGCAGCTGCTAAATCGTGACCCATCTAGTTCTCCCCAGAACAGCTCAACCCACCCTCCTTTGTCCACTTCGAACTCAGTCACCCCAAACAAAGACTATCCATCTTCAGCAGAGGTCAGTGTGCAGCAGCCCGGACAGGGGCAACCCAGTCAAGCCCCCTCCACAGGGACAGAGGCTCCCCCCACTGCACACTTCTTAAGGGATTACCCCCCACCAGGAGCACCCCCTTCATCTGTGCCTCATCCTGGTGCATCCAGGGAGTACCCTAGCCCTACTGGACTTGCTCCAAATCTTGGTCGGGAGTATGCGGGTGGACCGCCGGTGTCCCACCCACCTCACTCACACTATGGGCTTCAGTCAGCCAGCCTGGCTGTGCAGTCCAGAGAGCGAGAGAGGGAGAGAGAGAACAGTGCTCCAGCTGCCCTCTATCCCAATCGCATTCATCCACCGTCTCTTTCTCCTTCTTCTTCTTCCTCTGCACATGGCCATCCGCCCTCCACCTCCTATCCCCCTCCCCCTCTTCCTCCTCCACCCCACCCTCCAACTTCCCATAGTCAGGCACCACCTCCTTCCACAATTACAACCAGTCATTCACGCCCAGGACCATACCCTGCCTCCAGTCAGAGCCCGCCGACTACCATCTCTCCACTCCCTAGCCCCTCAACCAGTCAAATAGGAGGATTCCCTTCGTTTCCTTCAACTTCAGCTCCTGCAGTGAACGTACCACTTCCTGCATCGGGTGCAGTCACTTCCTGTCTCTCTGGCTGCAGACCTACCCCTTATCATAGCACTTTAAACAGTCATGGCCCTTTTACCAGCTCTTACCACAGCAGTGGTAACAACAGCAACGCTTTGGCGACTAGCAATACAAACATTATCCCCAACAGCAGCAGTAGCACCAACAGTCATGCGCAGCTGCACTCTCCTCAGCACTCCAAAATCCAGCCGCATCTCTGCAGCTCTGCTCAAGGGACTGCTGTGCCGCCCACATCTATAGGAGCAGACAACCATTCTGATTCGTCCTCTTGTCCTTTGCCAAAACCCGTCATAAAGGAGGAGCCAGTAGATGAGAGGGAGGAGACCGAGAGCCCACCCGCTGTGCTCAGAAGCCCCTCCCCGGAGCCAAAACCTGTTGACATTCCAATTCATGCCAGCCAATCAGCTCGGTAAGATAGAATTTGCATCCGATACTACAGTTCCCATAAGCACACTAATGCAAATATAGTTTTCATTCGTTATACATCATCATTAACCGCTTAGTCCAGATAGGGTCGCAGAGGGGGAGCTGGAGCGTATCAGTGCGGTCAATAGGTCATGTAGGTACACATGGATGGTCCTAAACCTTTGTGTGCAAAACAAAACAGAGGCCTATTTGAGATACACTTCAGCATTAGCTATCATATGGCCATCTCCTGACTTGAGCTTCCATGTCCTATATGGATCTTCAGTCTGACCAGTCTAACAGCATTCACTCTGACTCTGCCGAGCGGTCAGTGAAATCTAATCTCTGCAGTGCAGCAGCATGCTACCAACAATCAATTCAGCCTATAATTAATTATCAGAAAAACACAAGGGAATAACATAGTGATGTCCTCCCGATACAGCAATAAGGAGCAAAGAGTCTGGGTCTGATTCCCTCACTAAACTGGAAAAAGCTAAAGTAGACATAAAGAGAGTCTTAGAAACTGACTTGGACTGAGGGGCATTCAGACCAGTCTTTCTTTCCAAGCTGTTGCAGTCTTTTTGGTAAAAAAACAACAAATTCTTTTCATTCTGCATTCTGTTTGTTTGAGGTAAACAAATTCAGTTTGCATAAAGCATAAACCAGTGTCTTGGATGCGGCTATGAAAAATAATAGACATTCAGGTCACATTTCCTTTAATAATCCAGCTACTGGCTGTTTGGTCAGTGAAAGTGTTTGTTCTCTAAAGTCATCTCTGAGTGTTAAGAAGGATCATGTTGATAAGTCTGAACTTGACTGTGACGGTAGAGGACGCACTCATGTTTTGCGCCACTGTATCAGGTTCCATGCCAACCAGCAGAGCGTGCATGAATGTATTAATGATTTGGAACAAGTGGATTTTTCTAAAATAGGTATCATTTGAATGCCCTCCAGAACTATTGTCACACTTGGTGAAGATGACCAAAAACTCTGAAAAAATGTCTTTGTTGTATGTCAGCTTGATCATACAATGAAATTTTGAGATCTAATGTGTGTCTTTGAGGAGACATTTGAGAAGAAATTGTATTATAGTTATTTAGAGATGGCACAATACTACTTTTTGTTTTCCAATGCTGATTCTGATAGTGAATCTTGAGTATTGTCCAATATAGACCCAGATCCAATATTTCTTATTTAAAAACTACTAAGAAATCTACTATTTAGAAGTAGAGAAATAGTTCTTTATTACGTTTGCTCGGAGTTGATCACATCATTCTGACTTTCCCAATGGTAATTCCCAGTTGAGGGGTACATTTTGTTTAATTTTTCCCAGCTAGAAAAGGGAAATTTTGAGTTATGAGCTTCAGCTGAAAGCAGCAAAATTACTAGATGAAGTAGGAGACACACATAAAGGGATTTGAGTACATTCCTCCACATGTGAAGACGCTTCAGTTCTTTTTTTGTAGACTCTTCTCTACAGCTCAGCCCAGGGTTATATGTCAAGGGAATGGACACTGCAAAAGCTTGATTCTTTGGTCAGTGAACCATTTTTGTGTGAATTAGGGGGTTAGGGTCATTTTCCTGCTAGTAGATTCCGCTAGGACCCAGTCTTAACCTTTTGGAAGTGTCAGCCAGATTTGGATATAAAATCCACTGATATTTGATTGAGTCCATGATCCCGTGTATTATAACAACATTCCCAGAACCTTTGGAAGAAAAAAAATCCCACAACAACCAGCACAAGATCAAACTGATAAATAACATTGTTTTATAGAATTCTTTATTTGCCTTTACCAACGTGCCATTAATTCTGGCAGGCACTGACGGCAATTAAATGAGCATTTAACAGCAGTAAAATAAATCTTATGCCCACATTTCAGGTTCCACAGGGTACTAGATCGGGGCAGTGGGAACTCCTGCGCCCGCACTGACGTTCTCTTTGTCCCGCTGGATGGTTCCAAGCTTTGGAAGAAGAGGAACGAGGCCATAGAGAGGGCACGCAGAGAAGTGGAGCAGAGAGCCCGAGACCTGAGGGAGAAAGAAAGAGAGCGAGAAAGGGAGAGGGAGAGAGAAAGAGAGAGAGACCTGGAGAGGCACTTGCAGGTGAGTACCAGAATGTGGCGATAGCCCTTTTAGAGGTTTAGGAGGACATGAATATGAAGTTTTCTAATTTTTATCTCATCCCTAACGTCCGGTGAGAGCAACAGTGGCTGCATGTTTCAACTCCTCAGCGACTGTACCATACCGGTATGTTACATCTATTTCAAGGGAAACTGGATTTTTCTACTTTGCTACTACATTTGTTAGTTGCTCTCACGCAAGCACTGTCCAGAGCAGTTTGTCCAATTGCTGATATTGCTTCATTAGTGGTGTGTTTTGCTTGTAAATTATTATTTAGACTAGACATAGTTCAGAGCTGACCAAATTCACAGCAATACAGGACAATGTCATCAATGGAACTTGCTGTTTAAAAGCTGTATTTGAACGAGAGGGCTATAGTTGCAGAGTCATGACAACAGTGCACCAGCGCCTCGGCTTCACGGTGGAACTATGGATAGTTCAAAGAGCTAAAACTATGAACTATGTTTTATTTATATATTTTTAAAATCATGTACTCTTTAAGTTAACAGTGTATTTTCATGAAAGTGAATCGAATCGCTTCCCTCGACAACTGTTAGCTGCTTTGTGAACATATCGCTAAAACACAAGCAGATTGAGGTGCAAAGAATGGAAAGTGTGTGCACTTAGGCCAATTCTGAACCCCAAAGCACTATAAAACTGTATTTAAAACATAAAAATGTCCCATACTTTAAATATGTCTGTTTTTTATGAACTGTTATCAACTGTTTTATTAACTGTTATATCTCCTGCACGGTGTGCGCTGTAGGCCATTATACAATTGGTTACAACTGTATAATTGGTATACTCATTTGAATAATGTTGATTCAGAGCAAAAGAGCAGAGTAAAGATGTTCGTCAGTGGTTTGATGTATCGGTTTTATGTGTCACCTCTTCAGCTCCTGCATCTATTTCACCACATCTCTCACCTCTCACCACATAACAGCATGTTATGGTCCGTTATATTTGATGGAAATTATCAAAAAATTTAAATGAATTATTATTATTATTTAGATTGATTTATTACAATTATTTGGATTGGTCAGCAGCAGTTTAATTAGCACTTTTTTTAGCCCATCATGCATATGCAGCTGGTGCTGGACAGACATGGAACAGAATAGTTCCCAAATGGCATTATTTGCTGTCAGGTGCAGAGAAAAAAAGTGAGAGTGTGTTGAGAGAATTAGATACAGGTCTCTGTTTTTTTATCTGTTTGTGTGTTGTTTTTGTTAAGGTTTTTTTAATTGTCCAAAGACATGTGAAGGCACTCTTACTTGTCAGTTGCTGCAACTGAGTTTAGGACTGGTATGCGGGGTGAAAGATAATGCCACACCTATATATTACTAGTCAGCCAAATTAGCTATGGTAGCTAACTAGACTAACAGACTGCAGTTGCAGGGGCCTGGTGAGTAGGGGTCAACAAACGTAATTTTGGACAGCAGGTAAGGGGCAGCAAACTGAAGATGGTCTACCTGTTTATGTATTCAGTTATCAGTTATCAGTTAGATAAGTATACCCTTATTTCTGATTGTCATGTTTATTGAATATATATTTTAATTTCCAAATGTTCTCATTCAAAATTTCTGCAGCTCTTTAAAAAGTCTTTTTAAGGTCTGAAAAAATCTGAAAAAATGTTTTTTTTTCTATGTTTTGTTACTAGAAGTATTAAATTCATGATAGAAAATAGTGTGTATTGAACTGATTCATTATGCCAACCAAAAATATCTTCAGAAACTGGGATAAAGTGAGAGGACAACTGAACTGAAAATAGACTATGTTAAAAATTGTATAAACTGTGTAAAAACTGTGCAGCAGCCCTGTGTTAGTGTTATATAAAAAATCTACTATAAATGAATTCACTCTCATCTTCTTACTTTCTTTCCATTTTCTCTTTCTCTCAGCAGAAGGACAGTAACTGCAGCACTAATGCAAGTCTGGCTGCTGCAAGTGCGCGTCAGGGCTCCTCTCTCTTCTTCTCCCCTCCTGCCTCCATCCTCCTGGACCCTTCCGCATCCTCCTCTTCCTGTGTAAACCCATCACATCCTGTGGTCCACGCACAGCACCATGCTGCCCACCATGCTGCGCATGCACACGCCCTCCACCCCTCCCTCTCTCACTCCATCCCTCACTCCCTCCTCCTGCCGTCCATGGCTGGGGGAGCGGCGGTAATGGGGGGCCCCCAGGGGCCACTGGGGATCGGGCTCGGAGGCCCTTATCTGGGTCCTGACACGCCAGCGTTGAGGACGCTGAGTGAATATGCCCGCCCACATGCCATGTCTCCACTTGGTGCTGCCAGTCGAGCACAGGCCCACCACCATTTACACCCCCACCCACACCCCCACGTGCACCCATCACTCTTTTTGCCCCAATTTCAGAACCCAGCACTTGCTCACCCGCACCACCTTCCTGCAGATGCAGCCACAGCAGCTGCAATCCTGGGCTTTCTGTATGGTGGCGGGCTCGAGGGAGGCCCTGCCCACCCAGGAGCAGGGCCCGGGCCGGGTGGGATGGCGGGGGCTGGACTGGGAGGTGTGGGGTTTCCTCATGCAGTGGCCGCCCACAGAGAGCGGGTGAAGTCTGGGTTTGAGTTTAAAAGTGAAGAGCGTGTATACGAGCCAGCGCTGCCACTTGCGCACACACACTCACACACACACTCTCACTCTCTACTGCTGGCAGGCAGTGCTGGAGGTGGAGTCCCCAGCCGGTGAGGTCGCACTTTATGGAACGCCTCCACCTCCAGCCCCACCGCCACAGGCTATCGCCACAGCGACTAGGAATCCGAATTCAGTTGCGCAAACTCTTTCGGCACCGCCCACTTCCTCTTTGCTGCCGCCCTCACTTCCTGTTCATGCTCCGCCCACCGTAACCCCTGCTGCTCCTGCCCCTCCCCCACCACCTCCTCCTCCAGCCCCGCCCCCGCCTCCTGCACCCTCTGCTTCATCTTTGCATCACCCCTCCCCTCACTCCTCGCACTCCACCCCTCACTCTGCCACACAGGCCCCACCCCCTGAAGGATACTTCACCCCCAGCCGCACCCCGCCCAGCACAGAGAGAGCGAGGAGCGTGGAGAGGGAGAGGGAAAGAGAGAGAGTGCTGACCAGCGGAGAGAGGGAGCGAGAGCGGGAGAGGGAGAGAGTTGTGCCAGCAGGAGGTGCAGTAGGAGCAGGAGGAGCAGCAGGAGCGGCTGCAGGTGGAGGAGGAGGAGGAGGAGAGTCTTTGGGAAGACTGCAGATGCTGAATGTGACTCCACATCATCACCAGCACTCACACATACACTCTCACCTGCATCTACACCAGCAGGATACAGGTACTCATCACACAAGCATGCACTCATGTGCCCTTTCTCCCACACACACATACACACACAGGTTATTATAACTCCCTTAATATATAATTATATACCAAATCAGACTGCTTGTAAAGGTTGGTATACTTCCGGGTGGAGAACTTGCACAAGTAAACTGGAAGCGGCTCAACTTAAGTAAGAGTAAATATAACAGAACAAACAAAAAACATTGTCAATAAGGGTAAAATCTTGTGTTTTAGGTTATAATGTCACATAATTTCTTTCAAAAGCATTTAGAGCTGCTATATGTGATATTAATCCCAGTGAGGGGTCCTCTGTGTTTGGTAACACTTGCAGTTGAACCCAACGTCAATTTAGCGAATCATTTATTCTTCCAGGTGAAGATAAAAGTCACCAAGCACTTTTACATGAATAATATGTGCACCTGAACGTGAACTAGAATAGCATGTTGATTTATTGATTGCTATTTTTAGAATTAAATTGTAAAAGTTCTCTATAATGTGACAAATGATAGTTTGGCACTATTAGCATTTATGCTAGCCTCCACAGAACCTCCATGGAGTTTTTGCTCATATTTTCACAGAGATTAGCTTTGCTTGATTCTACATGATTCTATATCAGCCAATATCTTAAGCTAACTAGTAAGCAAGGTAGTTAAGTAGCCTAATAGACACTTCAGAGTGATATACAGGACTCGTTTCTAAATAGTGTGAAACACTTTAAAAGCTAATTCTTCTTCATTAAACACTGCAGTGCATGTTCATTATTATATCAAAAAAATTAACCACACAGAGTCATGAAGTTATTGAGCTAGAAAGATCAGTTTAACAGCCACCAACAGCTTTCCAGACTTACTAATATTAGCAACAACAATATAATAACAATACAATAACAGTATCTAGTTTGTCGAACTGCAGATATTTAGGGGGACACAGTGACTGAGTATTTTGATATTTCTTCACAAGATCACTCATTTCTAATATATTAGTTATAAACTCTCAGGATTAGTATTTTCCTGTTGTATCAATGCCGTGCTGTTGTTATCCACCTGGAAGTAACTTATCTGCTGTTGTAACGAAAAACTAATTTGTGCTATTGAAAACTATCATTAAGAAGTCACTCAGTATAAATATGACTGTTATTGAATTTGTGCTTTTTGTTTGTTGTTACATTACTGGGGGACAGCGGCAGGGGGAGTGCACCCCCTGATGGATCCTCTGGCAGCAGGAGCCCCACTAGCACGCTTGCCATACCCAGGAGCCACGCTGGGGCCTCCCATCCTCTCTCACCCCCTCACAGACAGCGAGGTGCTCCGACAGCAGCTCTTCGGTAACACACACCTCTGACCACTTTAACACACCTCTCAACACACACTTTGCTAAAAAAAACACACAGGGCTGCTTTCACAGACCCACATTAAGCATAAATCTAGACCACAAGGCTTTTCAGTGGACAATCAGCACTGGCAATGAAATTAAGTCTGAGAAGAGGATTAAGCCTTATCACCAGAGATAATTAAAATCGATTTTAATTTTAATCATTTCTTACTCGTAGCTCACTGTAACAATTGGAGAAAACCTGTGTGTTCTCGCATTCTGAACTTTCTAACTAAATTATCACATTTGCTTTCCTAAATCAAAGTAAGATAATTTATTTTGGATTTGATGAAAAGTTATTGTCGTTCATAGTCTCAGAAAGACGTAATTCTTCACAGTTTGCCATATTTCTGTAATTTTTTGACATCAAAACAAATAGGAAAAGTCGGAAGTGCAGACTTGAACCTGTTGATGCAGACTGTAAATGGAATGTAATTAATTGAATAATTAACTGTGCAGTTAGTCATATAATTACATAGTAATATTTTAATAGGTTAGCAAGACAACAGTAATACTTATAGATTTGAAAGGGTTAAGCCATGTATTACATAATCACCTCATGACAATTATGTGAGCTATACGCATTTATTTAAACTGACCATAATTATTTTCTACAGTTCTAAGCTTCCACAATTATATGTTTACGAGGCCACAAACTATTTAAATAGGTGTTTTCATTCATTGGGTTGGGGCAAATACATGTAGATTAAAGAAAGCAGAAAGGGCGTTTATTGAGATTGGTAATCTTATGAAAACAACAAAAATACTGATGCTATAACATCAGAGAGCAGCGTTGAGTAATTTTTTTTTTTTTTTGCGTCCATTATCAGTTGTGATCGACATCTAGGAAGTAAGATGACAATCAGTCAATATGGCCAAAACAAATAAATTGTTAAAAGCAATTATTTACATGGCTATTAATTGTCAGCTAAAATTTCATGGTCGCGACACGTAAATCCATATTTAGGAAACCACCTAACAGTATTTTTTACCACGTAAGGCAGTCACGTCTTTGCTTTTTCTCTCACTTTTCCTACCTCTATATCTTTAACTCTCTCTCTCCACTTTAGGTGGTCCGTTCCGTGAGCTGCCCCAGCCCTCGTCTCTGGGGGGCTCCATGTCTGCAGCTCATCAGCTGCAGGCCATGCAGCAGGCTCAGAGCGCCGAGCTGCAGATCCAGAGACTGGCGCTGGAGCAGCAGTGGATCCACCACCACCACCATCACTCGCTTACACAGGACGAGTACTACAGGTGAGCTCTCTCTCTCACACACACACGCACATACTGTGCACACACACACACATGCACATGCACATAATGTACAAATACACATACTAGTGTATATTCCTGTCTTTATGGGTGTTTCCATCTTCTGTATGAGTTAACCTCAACTTCATCTCTTTGACTTTTTCTAAAGAAAATTTCATCATGAGGAGCAGCTAAATGTCAAAAGCATCAAAATATTCACGTTTGCCATCATCTTAGGGGCTTTTGGTTTCCACAAAGAGCTGAATATGCCTCAGTCGCTTTGTCCTCTGATTCTCTTTTGACCTCTGTGACCTCTGTTTTCTTACCAGCCACTTGAAGAAGGAGAGCGACAAAACGCTGTAAGAGAGCGATGAGCCGAGAAACACAAGACAAAGTGAAGAAGGGGGAAAGTGCAAATAAACAAGTGGAATCGTGGCAGAAGTGGGCACTGAAGCGGAGGATGAACTCCCAGCACACGTATCACACTAGCAAACCTGATATGAACAGTTAAGAAAATATGTTAAAAACCTCTCATAACCCAGCAGAGTGACGTTTGTAACATCCTGAGAGGACCCGAGTGACCCCCCCCATCAGTTCGCCTGATGCACCGTGGGCCAGGCGGCAGGGTTTGGGCCGCGTTGAAGTATATGTACAGTATGTTACACGAGAAAGAATGTCTAAAGCAAAAGTTCTCTTTTATGTCTTTGCATGTAGCTAGATACGAAAAAGCCCAGCGGGCTAAAATCCGACTTTTTTTCTAGTGACTCCCTCGGCACTCTAAGAGAGTGGGTTTGGTATTGAGTATGCATGTAATCAACACTCAGCTGTCATATTCCCTTTCTTTGTAGTATTGTTATTATTAATATAAATGTTGTCTGTTTGTTAATAATTATGTAATTATATAAACATATTATTTTGTGTTATTTTTTTACATTTTCATGGTATGGATTATTTTTTGTTTTTTTTTCTTTTTAATTTTACTTGTGAAAAAAGCAAGATTCAAACTGAAGGAAGAAGAAAAAAAATCTGGAAATAAAATACCATTTTTTTCCTAAAGGTGCTTTTGTCTGTACATGTTCGTTAGCACAATTTTTTTATTTGTCTGTAATTTTTGTGGTTGTAAACTACTGAAGTTGTAAAAATAATTTACCAAACTTGAATCAGAACAACGTGAATTGGAAATCAGAATGCATTTTTCTACTTTGGCTTGACAAATTTCTGCGTGTAACTGGATAATAATTAGAGCATAATTTTATTAATCAGAATTCGATTGAATTATGAAAAACATGGCATAATGAGCATGGCGTCTGGTCCTGTACAGTTAGTTATGGAGAACTACTCCTACAACACCTCCAGCACCCGCAGTAGAGGAGTGGGGACGGATTCATGGTGGCACAAAAGGCCATGAGGATAAGGGAAAACATGCTGTGTAATTTTTCCCAGCCCCTAGTACACAGGAACATAATCAAACATGATGAGACGTTTTAAAGGTAGACAAATGTCCCTACATTTTGATCAAATATTACAAAAAACAAGAAATCATGCTTAAAATGCCAAAGGGCAATTTTGATTTCAGATTGACTTTTAAGGGTCTCATGTAAACGTATTAGCTGAGATAAATATAGTATATATTTGAGAAAAATACAGTGTATATTTAAAATAAAATACACATCAGCTGACCTGACATTTTCACATAAAGTTTAGGCTAAAGGAACAATCAAGTGTCAACACTGTGAAACTTGTAATAGATTCTCATAGCATTCCACTTTTAATGCCTATTCTATAACTACTGTGCATTTCACAAAATAATAGTCTCTCAAATTATTTAATTATTGTGTTGCAGTTTTTCAAGCCTTTGAAAAACAAATTTAAAAACTACTCAGAAGTCACTTTTCAAATGAATGTAATTGAAGTGGTCTTCAGCTTGTAGTACTGTTTCCCTCAGGAATCCTTTGTCTCATCTCTCTCTCTCTCTCTCTCTCTCTCTCTCTCTCTCTCTCTGTCTCTCACACACACACACACAGTACTGCGTAAGCGTGGCTAATAGGAGACACATGGGAGAGCATGAGACAGAATTGTATCGCTCCAGTGAACATCGACTACAGTGGGGGGAGAACAGAACAACAGAAAAAAACAGCAAGAAAGAAAGAGAGCAAAAGGGATTTAGACAGAGAGAGAGTAAGAGAGAAGAGACTTAAAGTGAAGGAGAGAGACAAGAAAGAGATGAGAAAAAACAAGAGGGGAGAAAGTGGGAGAAAACATCAGAGAGGGAAAGGAGAAAAAGAAAAAGGGAGAGAGAGTGAGGGTGAGAGAGAATGATTTACAGTTGTGAAGACGCTTGGCTGTCGGCCCCCAGCCCAACATCAGTTTAACACAAATCACAAGAACTCCCTCCGACTCACACACACACACACACACATCCTCTTTCCAGCCTCCTCTCACTTCTCTCTTTAACTCGGTCAAACATCTCATCAGAGCGGTCAAGCTCCTCCAGCCACAAAACCACATGGTCTATTCTGACTGTAAATTACACTCTTTTCTGAACCTCTGACCCTCAGACCTGTCAGGTGAGAGGATTCTGGTCCAAGTAACCCTGTATTACCTCATAGCTCTACTGCCCGCTGCTCCATTAGTGATGTTTTGGTGACCTGGTCAAACCTTTTTGTTTTGAGTGACAGCTCCTATTTGAGTGGTCAGGAGAGAGAGAAGGTGGGGGGGCAGTGAGGGAGAGAGAAAGTGAAATGGAGAGAAAGAAAGGGAGAGGGGGAAAAAGAAAAAGGGAGAGGGAAGAGAAAGGGAAAAGGAGAAAGAAAGATAGAAAAAAATTAGAGGGGGAAAGGGAAAGAGAGAGAGAAAGTGAAAAAGCGAGGGAGAAAGGGAAAGTGAAAAAGGGAGGGAGAAAGGGAAAGTGAAAAAGGGAGGGGAGACAGAAAGAGAAAGTATAAATATATCTGTACATGTGTGAGTTTTACACAAGTGAATGTTCTGGGTTTTTGTTTTTTAACAACAATAACAGAAGTGAGTGAAAGAGAAAGGTAAAGCAGGGTGAGAGAGAGAGAGAGAGGACTAGAGAGAGAACCCGTGGTTCACCCCGTCTGAGGCCGTTCAGTATCTTTCAGATCAGTAAGTAAACTGATCCTGTATCTCGGACTGAAACTACTGAAGCTAACAACTACAGTCAGTTCCTTTTTGTTGACATGATCACATTAGACTATAAATAGCTTGAACTCATTTTTTGTACATTAAAAAATAAAAAACAAACACATAGTTTTGATGTGACAACTATGATATTTCCACTTTTACCTTATGTTTTCACAAAGTTTTCACACCTCACTACTTTCTCCCTATTCCTCCTGACCTTTACTTCTTTCTCACAGGCCTTCAAAAGGCGACATCCAACTTTTTAGCAGAAGTTCAGAACTCCAACCCAAAGTCTCTCCTACATCATCACTCATACCACAACCACAGGCTGACGACATTTGAACTCTTGTAATACACACTTGTCTGCTTGTTCTGCTAATCACTGTGTAGCGTTGCTGTCGAGTCAGTGTGGTCACACCCACATAGTAAGTTGTAACTGATTCAACACTGAAATATGGTTGTACATTAATTTATGGTCAGTGTTGAAAAATCAACATTGAATTTATATTGATATTTGATTATTTTGTACAACAATGAAGTAGTTAAACAGCTTTGAGTGCTTTTCAGTATTAAAAATGTGATGCTGAATCTACATTGATATCAGGAATACGTTTCAAAATTGAATAGTTGAGGTTAACTCAATGTTATGTTAGCTTTGTAGATTCAGTGTTGATATTTGGTTGGTTGACTCATTGTTAGATTTTGAGTGCTTACAATGTTTTATCAGGGGAATATTTCAACATTTATATCTGAGTAATTGATTCAGCATTGAAAATATGATCGGTTTACATTGATATAAAATCAGGTATCCAAGTTACAATAGTAATTTAAGTGTCCTTTATCTCTTCAGGGAATATAGCCTTTGTAAAAGAGGAAATTTGAGATATCTGAATTGCAAGGTGCTAGTGTAAGTTCAAAATACTCAGAAAGGAACAAATTCATCAAAAAAGTAAACTGTGTAAAAGTAAAAAGTGTCTGTCTGGGGCTCCTGAAACTATTATCATCACAAGTTGGTAGAATTTGTGCTTGACAACACAAAATCATATAACACTCCTGCTTTATGGTCTTTTCACCTCTATTACATGGCTATGTCTTATTCGCAAAGGGCCGCAGGGTTTCATTCCAAACAAGCTGGCACACCACTGAAGTTGTTCTACAGTGTCTGTTAAATGCTTAAAAATAAAAGATGTGCTGTATTTTGTAAATACTGAACTGAATTCAGTGCACTTTCAATGTTGAATCAACACATAAAATCAACATCAGTACTAAGACATTAAATCAACAATTATTCAACTATCACAAATGCTGTTAAATCAGTGTTGCATCAGTGTTCAATATGGTCAGTTTTCCAATGCTGAATCAATGGCCAATACAGCAAGCAAGATCAATGCAGAGATGTATAGTTTCTATGGTTTTGCTCACCATTGAATCAACATTCTTTCAATCAAAGTTTGCTATCTGTGCACTGGAAATCAAATCTGAGCTCCAGAGAACCCAAACTGATCCAAGATCAACTCATGCAGGGAGAAATAGGACACTGAAACATGAACTTTCCCTGATGTCAGTGTGAGGAGTCACGCCTAGAGTTTATTCCATACTACTGGTTACGGTAACCATAGTATTCAAGTATGTTTTATTTTTAAACCCTTCAATACAGAGCCTAGTAATGTGAGATGTTGGTGGAGGTTCAGTGCGCAGCGGATTGAAGTGGACTCTCTGCTTTGTTCTGTTAAAGGATGAGGAGCCTCAGGCTGGCTTGTGTCTGCATGAGCAGAGAAAAGTGGGTCGATCAGTGTAAAGTCACCTTGAATAAGAACGGTGAAAGACCCTCAATTATCCAGACTGTTCTAACTGATGGAAAGAGGAGAACTTTAAATGACACACTGGACAGAACTTAGTCTATATGGATCAGTAGACAATGTTTTATTCTTTATGAATAAATAAAGGTTGTTCATAAGGTGCAGCATGCAAGGTCAACGAGTCTCTTCAGAAAATGTGCACATTTCATTGCTTACACACACACACAATGGTCAAATTGTAAAATGTGGATGGTGTGGTGGTAGTAATGAAAGTCAGGTACACTTAAATGAATTGTTTTAGTCTTATAGCAAAGAAAAAGGCATTTTTAATACCTCGGTATTAGAACACATTTATCAGTTGCAGCTGACTATGAATGTAGACACCTTGTGACAATCTTACAATGACTTTTTCTTTGCTTTTAGTGCATTATAGACAACTTTGTTGCAAATCGCGAATATAGATAGAATTGGTTAAATGTCTAATATAATGACATAACTCCAGATGAGACTGAAGGGTGTAGGAGTGGCAATTTTAGAAAAGGGGGCCATTTTTGTTAGTTTTTTAGATGGGGTGATGGCATCTCCTTGCATCTCCCCTTTAATGGAGCCCTCCATACACAGACATGGATAGGTCAGGCTTCTTCGTACCTCAAATTACACTGTGACGTCAATTATTATGAGTTTATATGGCACACTCTGTCTTTCAAGCACACACACACGCACCAACAGCATTTGTCTAAACAACCGTATTGACATGTGGAGTGTTTTGACATCAACGTCAGTCTCAAAAGCTTTGTCCTCTGTTAATGTTTCATCTCCATGCCCTGCATTTACCTAGCTGTCATTGCCAACTGCTCAGCAGAACACATTAACACACTGACAGGTCTTTACATAGCAGAGCTTCCTGTCTGAACCCTCAGGATCTTCTAATGATTTATGTAAAAGAAAAAATCATGTCTGTAGCTTTGATTTACTTTTTATGTAATATAATTATCATGCTTGTTGTATTTAAAC